GCATGTATATATACAGTACTGGTCGTATATGAGTGGTCATACGCATGCATACAAGCAGATGCATATGTAGAAATACAGTACTGGTCATGTATGTGTAGATATACACATGCATATAAGCAAGCATCGACTGCCTTCTCCGCGACTTCTCTACTCTCAGCAAATCGTCTCCTGCAGCCCCGACGCGTTCGATACGTACACATTCAATAGAGCATACCAATGGCACACCTACCTATATATACATATAGAAAATACACAAAGCTATACACTTATATTCATACACAAAGCTGATTTGCATACAAACACATGTGTCTATCCGCTACCAGTAGCAATCGATCACTTCGCCATCTCTGGTGGCCGTCGTTTTAATACTCACACACACCCGATGCAGAAACGTCAGATACGTCCGATGCGGACAAATCGCAGATACACATAGTTATTAATGATACACACACACCCATATATATATATATATATATACAATATTTATATATATATATAAATATATATAAATAAATAAATAAATATATATATATATATAAATATATATATATATATACACACTTAGTTATGTGATGCACAAGCCACTTTAAATTATACAAATAGTCATTTGTTTGCACAATAGCGCCTATTTTTACACTAACCCACCTCTTCCTCCTCTTCCTCGACCACTTCTTCTTCGCGTGATTCGTCATCGTCGCTTAATTCCTCACCACTGTCCGCTGCCGAGCGTGCAGGTTTCTTCGCGTCGGTTATTTCGTCATCACTTTCTTGTACCGAACTTTTGGTCTTCTTTGTGGGGTTGATGATCTTGATACGTTTGGCGGTGGGTTTGCTACGCACTCGCGCCGAGGATCGGGAACCTGTCAAATGTCATTTGACATGACACGACAAGACACGAACAGTCAGACGGTTGTAGGGGTATGCGAGAGAAGCGGGATATTGCATGGGGAGGGACTAACTACTATAACACTACAAATATATATCATTCTCAACGATATCTATGGCATTTCAAGAATATGACAGAACAAAGACATTGCATGAGGAGAGACTAACTACCCAAACACAACAGATGCATATAATTCTCCAAGATATCTATGGCA